ACCACATGAACAGCTTTACCCACAGGTAATTCTCATAACTATAAAAAATGCTCAAACAAGTTAGTTAGACATCATTCACCCTTAATTAATCCATGCAGGCTTTCCTTAGATAACCCAAATTTGCCCAAGTGATTATTAATTTTGCCCTGAATTGTCATACTTTAAATCCTTTCACAGGATGAGGGGATTATTAGCTAAACCAACATTTGGTGCCCATCCCCAATTGAGAATGTCACAGTGAGATGCCACCTTGAACTACTGCAGTCCATATGGTGTAAGTACACCCACTATGCTGTTAGTGAGGGAGTTCTAGGCTTTTGGCGCTGTGATAGTGAAGGAATAGTGGTATATTTGCATCTCAGGACATTGAGCGACTTAAAAGGGAACTTGCAAGTGGTAGTGTTCCCATGTTCTTCTTGCCAACAGAGGTCACAGTTTCAGAAGGTGTTCTCAAAAGAGAGTTAGCAAGTTTCTGCAGTGCATCTTGTGTATAGCACAAACTACTGTTGCTGCGCATTAGTGATAGAGGAAGTACTGGGCTTAAGTGGTGCCAATCAAGTGGTCTACTTTTTGTTGAATTACATCAAGCTCCTTGAGTATTGTTGAAGCTGCACACATCCAGGCAAATGGAGAGTGTTCCATTATATTCCTGACTTGTGCCTTGTAGATGGTGGACAGGCTTTGGGGTATTAGGAGGTGACTTACTCACTACAGGAATCCTAGCCTTCACCTGCTCTTGTAGCCACTGTATTTATATATGTAGTTCAGTTCAGTTTCTCTCACTGGTAATCCCCAGAATGTTAATAGTGAGGGATCAAGTGTAATGTCATTGAATATCAAGAGGACATGGTTCTCTCTGGTTGAAGATTGTCACTGCCTAGCACTTATGTGGCACAAATGTTACTTACCACTTCTCAACCTGAACCTGAATGATCCCTATTTCTAAATGCTTCCAAAAGCATTTCCATTATTGGAGTTAATTACTGCCCTTTAGTTCTTTATTGTAAACCTGACACTCAGTTTTGAACAAGAGTGTAACATTTGCAATTGTCCAGTCCTCTGGCACCATCATTGTAATTAAAGAAGATTCAAAAATTGTGCCAATGCCTCCATAATTTCCATCTGACAGCATGCTTCCAAGGTATTGGAAGTAGGCAACATTCTCTAAGGCCTCCCAATGGGCCTTGATGATTGGGGATTTGCTCCACAAAGCCAGGCCAGGTTGATGATTACCTTTCTCTTGTGGATGTTCTTGGTTATTGATGAAGCTATTAATAAAGAAATCCAGCCTACAGTATGCTAACGCAGCCTTCGGCCACCTGAGGAAAAGAATGTTCAAGAACAACAACATCAGATCCAACACCAAGATCATGGTTTACAGAGCTGCGTTGGTTCCCACCCTCCTACATGGCTCTGAGACATGGACTGGCTACAGCAGATACCTCAAGGCACTGGAGCAGTACCACCAATGCTGCCTGTGCAAGATCCTGCAAATCCCCTGGGAAAAAAGATACACTAACACCAGCGTCCTCAGTCCTCAGCGCTGAGGCACTGACCACCCTTGATCAGCTACCATGGGCTGGGCACGTCATCTGCATGATCGAAATGGGGCTCCCCAAGCAAGTACTCTACTCCCAGCTTCAAAATGGCAGGCAAGCCCCAGATGGACTGAGGAAGCACTTCAGTGATACTCTCAAGGCCTCACTGGCAAAGTGTGGTATTCCAACAGACCCCTTGGGAATTACTGGCCCATGACCTCCCAATGTGGAGGAGGAACATACAGGAAGGAGTCAAGCACCTTGAGTCTTGCCATTGGGAAAAAGCAGAACCCAGGCAAAAACTGAGTAAGAAATGCACTGCCACACTCCTGCCCCACCCACCCCTTCCCATGACCACCACCTGCCCCAAGCATAACAGAGCCTGCAGTAGCTGTATCTGTCAATACAGCTACTGCATGGACTGTATGGACTCACCCTGAGTGTGGAAGAGAGTCATCTTTGTCTGCAAGGGACCTCTGATGATGAATTTCTGTTCTTATTTTCCTCAGTATCCTAGGATGCATCTCATTTAATCCTAGTGACCTGGTTTAAAAGAGAAATTGGTGGATTTTGAAATTGGTGACATTTAGGTGGATCCACTGTATGAGTTTATTGGGTTGGTGTGGGCTTTGTGTAGGTGAGGCCGAACTCTGGACTTCCAATCCAATCCACAACATGATGCTAATTCTTATTCTGGAGGCAGTTATCTCCGCAGCAGACAGTAGGTGGCGCATTTGCCACTCGTCCACTAAATGCAGCCAGGTTTCCGGAATGGGAATTGTTCCTTTGATAGTGGGTTGAAAGTAACGTCCAGAACCTTCAAGTAAGAGGTGAATCTGCAGCATGTTGGGTCGTGTGTTTGATGCCGATAGCTTATAATCGAAAATAACAAAGGCAAACAGATATGCCACTCCAAAATGTCAGGATCTTAAATCTATGCAAAGTTCGTTCAGAATGTTGAGTTTTAAATTTGGTGGAAAGAAAAGGTAAAAAGAAATGATGCCTCTACAAATGCTGATCCAAAGAAAAGGACTTTTAACTTATATTTATCTGAATTAATGTTCAGGCTGACACCTGAGCTGTGTTTGCGCAATGTTAAAAAAAATGACCTTTGTTCCTTTGAAGCGATTACACACAGGGGGAGTTCGTTCAGATTTGCCCAGAATCGCACTCACATCTTATTGCCAACCTTATTGTATTTCTGTGATGTAAAGGTCACCGAACTTAATGCTAATACGGGTTCCAAATTCAACGGGTTAGAAAATTCGAAACAAGAAAATAACTTTGTTCAAATTAATTTTCAGGTTTCCTTTCTGTAACTATCGTGCATTTCCTCCTAATCAGTTTAATCGTATCTTAAATGTCGGATACATATGTTTCTAGTATGTATCAATTGGACAATGCGTATGTATTCTCGCTGATGTGGCCTGTTTTATGTATTGCAGGAATGCTGGCAGGTAGAAGTGGGGATAGAGAGATTACACAGTTGATATTAGTACGACACTATCCTAATCCTTAGTTTTTATTTGCCTGCACATGGTTTCTTGAGGGACGCTTGTGATCAGCTCTATGTTTAGTTTAAATCAGCTTGTATGTGTTCGACTGTGTTTGTGGAATGGTTTGGAAATCAACACGATAGATCACATAATCGTGTAGAAAGTACTAAGTGTTGGGAATGTGAAAGCTGAGTGGCATTTGGAACTGACAGCTGCTGTACACGTTTGCTGTCGCTTGACTAGTAACATGGATTGAAAATCCACCCAGCACCTGTTGCAGTTCACCAGCTCAGTGCACTGAAATCTACACTTACATAGCTGCCCTTTAGGCTGCTTTCTTGGATTACAAATTACCAATTGCGGAGGCAACAAGCCATTTCAGTCACTTACAATAAATGTATTCCAACGAAGCACTGTATTTCTACAATAATTCTCAAAATAATTCTGCTTTCAGTACAAAGCAGCAATCGAAGGAACCAAACTGGCCATTGTAATAAATCATTCAAGTTTGTACAAATTCCCCAATGCAGAAAACTATGCGTTTGACAAGAAGGTTCAAAACAGGTAACGCAAGTGACGGAATCCTATATTTAATTATGGAGCCAAATCAAATCCAGTGCAATTGTATACAACGAGCATTGTCATGCCAGGACCTCGCAGATAAATTTTGATTACTTCCAGAAAAAAAAGTTTGGAATAATGTTTTCGTGGCCGCAATAAGGGTATTTGCAAATTCTTGCTTTAAACTACTAAAAAGGCACAGGAACGACCAGCCGATCCGGAGCTTGTGGTGGTCTCCATGATGCACGCAAAACTCCTTTGGAATGCCAGCCAGCGTCGATATCAGCAGTGAGGTCACATTGCAAAATTTGGCACTCTGAATTTCAAGTGTTGCATTTGAGAATGGATAAAAACAATGCGAATTAGGAATTCAGATTAATTTGAGTATACATTTGTAAATAAGGTTGTTTTATCAAAAGGACGCCGTGTTTGAAATAGGGCACTTTTTTTTTACAAAAAGAAGCAATTTGAGATTGCAGATCATTGGAAAAGAGTGTATTTTGCTAACAGCTTTCAAGCATTATGTACAACAGCAAATGTATGTGTGCGCGGTGCTAATGGTGTGCAGACAGTAAGTGAGGCTTGAATCCATTAATAATCTGCCTCTCAAAAATAAATCTGAAATTGGTTTATTTTGTGAGCTGCCAATAGACTGGCTATGGTGAGAAAGCTCAAACTGAGCCGATATTGTCAGTTCACAATAATCCCACCGATCCTTTCTTGTTTCGTGTTCATTCACAACAGGTTGTTGTCTCCTCCTTCTCCGGGGATTACAAATCGGTTTAAAATGACGAACGGTTTAGATTTTACAGTTTCCAAACAGAGCAAAGCTACCGCTGTTAGCTATTTGAATCTTTGGAATTGTTTCTGGTATATTTCCGATGTAAATATATGGAGATCACATATCCTCCCTTGTTAATAATGTGACGGTGGGTTGTCTTACAAGTCGGATCAAGTATATATTACAGAAGCAATTTCAGATGGTTAAGATCGTCTCGTTATAAATTCTCCAGCTAGTGAAATTTCGGATTGGCGCCTTGAATTGAACAAACCAACTAATTTGCAACAGCCCCGCTCTATTTTTTGTAATATTCTGAAACCAGAGGGATATCTACTACTGTTTAGTTAAATGCAAGTGTGTTCCAATAAAACTTTCTATTGAATACTTGACGGAATGACAGTAAAGCCGTTTTTGCAAATGACAGATTATGTCAAATAGCAACGGAACAGGTGAAATCGACTCGCGACTTGAAAGACAGTATGTAACATAATTCGGTTAAAGAATGAGGAACTCGAAGATAGCATTCTTGAAATCGGATGATACAAGAGCTTGCCAGTGGCAGAACTGGAGAGTGGTCTTGCTGCTGACATTGACTCCCTGGGTGCGGTCCCTTTAAGAGAAGCCTGGGGTCTCTTCCCCGGCTCGACGCTGACGTCAGAGCCACGTGACGCCCCCTGTCGGATAAATGGCGATTGACAGCCGATTGAGGAGCAGAAGGGCTTTCCGCAATCCTCCGCTACTCGAGCAAGTTAACAAACAAAAACTTTGCACTCTGCCTCATTCGGCTAGCAGGCCATACACCAGCCTTATGCATAAGTGTGGAGCAGGGTCCGGCCAAACAGCGGCGAGATCAAAGCAAAGGAAAACGAGCCAGACCCCAACTGCCTCGATCTGCAAAGTGCTCGATGAGAAATAAAAGAGGAGGGGGACTTCTTGGAAAGGACTGCTGGCGACTTGTTCGGCTTTGAGCCATTCGGAGCCACTCCACTAGGGGGTCTGGAGACTGGAGATTTGCTTTGAAGAAACTGGGCCGATCACTTCCACAATGACTCTGGGTGCCGATATGTCTGATCATTCTCTGCTCTCTGAGGATACGGATATTGATGTGGTCGGTGATATGAACGGCAAAGAGAGCAAATACGGCAGTTTTCACTCGGACAATGATTCCGATGATAACTTGAGCAGAAACGTTTCTGAGAATGTGGAGTCTCCGGAGTTGTCCGGGCGATCTGACCCCAGTCCGACGCGGGCAAGTGACAAGCCGTGTAAAAGTACCCTGGTGAAGCCTCCTTATTCTTACATCGCCCTGATTACCATGGCCATACTCCAGAGCCCGAAAAAGAGACTGACCCTGAGTGAGATCTGTGAGTTTATCAGCAATCGCTTCCCTTATTACAGAGAAAAGTTTCCTGCTTGGCAGAACTCCATCCGACACAATTTGTCCCTGAACGACTGCTTCGTGAAAATCCCCCGGGAGCCCGGGAACCCTGGCAAGGGCAACTACTGGACCCTGGACCCCGATTCCGCAGACATGTTTGACAACGGCAGCTTTCTCCGTAGGAGGAAACGGTTCAAAAGGCAACAACCGTCCGAGATCTTGAGGGATCACAGCAGTTTCCTGCCAAATTTCGGATATGGACCTTATGGCTGCGGCTATGGCATACAGTTGCAGAATTTCCATCACCCCCATCACCACGCCAGCCCCAGCACTTTCCCATTCCAGTCCCCACATTGCGCAGTGCCATCTCCAGCCTCAATGTTTCCGACTCCAGCCATCCCCTCGCTTTTGCATGGCAGCGACCTAACCAGGAAATCGTTCTACCCACAGTTGAGTCCCACTCTACCCAATCTGCAAGGATTGAAAGCTGACCCGAGCCAGTCCAGGCCTTCCTTCTCCATAGACAATATCATAGGGGCTGCTCCCTCAAATGCCCCCGGGTCGCCCTATTCAGGCCCAGCTGGAAGCCAAGCACAGGTATTGGCAATGTTAACCCCGGCACTGACTCAGGCCCAGACCCCACTGAACTTAACGCACGAAAATGTTCTACAGACTGGACAGAACTTTTCAAGCAAACTCACAAATCTTAACACCTGTCACTATTAATTTTTTCGTCCCACGGCAGGTAGGAATTATGCATTTTTGAATATTTGGAACCACGCAAATATTTCTGGGAAAAAAGACAAAATATATTTATCATGTGTATATATGTAAAATACAAAGTATGTGTGGGGAATACTGAATTCTTAATGCCATACTTTATAGTGTTCTCTGTACTGAATGTTAAAAGTCTTTTCAACATGTTGATCCAATATACTGTTCAAACACTGTTGAAAGACGGTTAGGGATCCTCAGGATTATTAAACTTTTTTTATTATGTAAACTGAGTAATTTACGGACGAATTTGTCGAAAGGAGAATTAATAAATGAATCTTTTAACATTTCAGTTATCATTACGGTTTAGTCCCTAACTATCAATTTTGTTTTTTGTAATTATTTGTACATAGACATAGGAAAGATGTGCAGCTCACGCACTTCACGCCTGCTGTCCCATTGGTTGTGCATCGATCTATTTTATGAGGGATGTCTGTGAATAATAGTACTGTTTGTTTCAAAATGTCCATCCGGTCTTTTGGTGTAAATTAATAAATGTTTTAAACTCTGAAACATATGTCTTCAATTTGTATAAAATGTTCGCACATAAAACTTCAAACCTACTTTTAAGAAAGTATCCGTGCTTATGATTTACAATTATGTTAGCAGAGCTAAGGAATAGCTGTAATAATACTTTTCAGTTGTTAGCATATTCTGCAAAAATGTGTTGACATTAACTATTGAATTGTTCATAAGAGTTTTCAAGTTTGATGGAATATTTTGAAAATCCTGGGGTTAACACAAATAAATGGCATTTCTCAAATTAACGATTTTTGGGGAAAGAAGTTAAGACGCCCATTTGGTTTAACTAAGGGGTCAAGGGACATTAATTTGAAGTGTTGCTGAAACTAAAGCTTGGATTGTTTTATTTCAACAGCTTTTACATTTAACACATATGTTAATTGTTAACGATTTAGTGAATGCAATGAATGCACATTTGAAGTTCGTAATTTCGGTTCTGAGGTGAAACCAAAAGAACAATCAAGATATTTCTGATGAAATGTAATTGCGGCTGATCTTTTTACATTTTCATTTGATTGATCATTCTATCAAAAGGCCTTCTACGTGTTTTTGAACAGAACAGCAAATGTTGGAAGGGCGTTTTTAATGGTGCAGGTATCGACTAGAGTAAAAAAAGTTTCATACAGTATATTTTCCAAATTCTTTATTCTCATTAGGCGTGGTTTAACTGGAATCTCCATGTGAGTTCACCTGTACTTTGGTTAGTATTTACTGGTAGTTGAGGATCGTTTGATCTAACAATATGCAAACTTTTGGTGCTTGTTGATCAGGTGACAACTGGTTGGAGCTGCTCCTTGGTAACTCCTCGGACGTCAGTGGCTTGTTGGTAGATCTGGGTTTTGGATTCTATTTTCCGGACAGCACTAATGTGCAGAAGCTTTGAATCTGCTGTAATCCACATAAAGCCGGCGAGTTTGTTTATGTTGCTGATAATGCCTCGTCCTGAATAAACGACTCCCAGTGAGCGGTCTCAGCTCCAGCTGACACATTTGCTTTTGAAAAACGATCTCTCCTCTCAGCCAGTTGGTTGTCTTTCATGTTTGTGTTCCTTTGCCTGGACAAAGGTTGTTTAAGACTCGAGGATCCGCGCCACAGGAAAAAATAGACGGGCAATGAATCTATTTTAAAAGTTTGCTAACTGCATATTTTGCTTCGAATTGCAATTTTTTTTTAATTTGTTGAGACTGTGTGCAAATTCCTACACTACTGCATATGGTTCTGCTGACACGCTTATTACCCCAAGGTAGCTCTTTTTGAAGGTTTCGATGATGCGAAAATATGTTTTCTCCGCAGTTTCAGTCCTCAAGATGTCAGTGCAACTGTTTTTAATTACTGACATCAGTCTGTACATATCGGCCGCATAATTTCGACTAATTGGCAAAAAATGAAGACAATCTTCCAGAATCAGCCAGAGGATAAAAGGAACACGCCTAATGAAAATATAGTCTCTCTCTTGTCGGGCCCATCTAGGATGCAATTTAAAAAATCACATCACATCGACAAGATTATTTTTAATTATTCCAATATTTCCTCTCCCGCTTGCGCTTCCCTGCTTTTGCAGGCTTTTGGTGCATTTCAATGTGTAAGACATGATTGAAATATACCATAGAATAACCAGGCATTAATCTTATTTATAAGCTGCTATTCCCTTACGTTTCCTGGAAGAAGCAATTATTTTCAGCAAATGTTTTATGGCTGCCATTCTCATAGCATGGATTCCTTCATCCAAATTAATGGTTCAGTTTAAGAAACTGGCCTAGGGGAGGAATTATCTGCACCGGTTAAGTTCATGCGCCATAAAAACAAAATTCTTTGTTTTTTTTTATTTGAGACTTCCGGCATCCACAGTATTTTGCCTTTAGTTTTAGAGGTTAGTGTGCCCATTAATTTCTGTCATTGGACGCCATTAATTTATAAAGCATTTGAATCCTTTGGAAAAAAAATGCCAGTCTTATTGGTGATAGAGTCTGGTATTAAACTTTGAGAATTTACGCAATCCAGAAACCCGAATTGTAAACGCCGGCTTTAATGTGTGTTTAAAATTCAAATTTGCGTTGTTCTCGGGTTTAAAGCTGGACAATGGTTTTATAAAAGATTGCAAACACACATGAACGGTCAGGAGAGGTGCCTCGGCCTCGCTTTTTGCTTGCGTTTGAATGTTGTCTTGCAATCTGTGAAGCTCTTTGAATGGCAACTGAAACCGTTCACGCACATAAAACATTTGCGGTGTGCACAGCACGAAGCCACACACTAAATAAGGGTCTTTCGCCTTCAGCATAAATCTTCTAAGGACCGTGTTAATAAGGGATTGTTTGCAACAATAGCAATAAAATCGCCTAAAAACAGTACCTGTTTTGCAGTTAGTTGTGTAAATCTCACGTTCTCGTTCAATGGCTCGTCACGGGCGCTGGAGGTTGGATTGCTTTAACCCGAGTGAATGCTGCTAAATGTACAGTTTACCGGTCCGCTTAATAGAGGTTAGAGTTTCAACCCTTCCCCCTTCTCATTCTAAAGCGGCTTTGCCTATTAACTGGATCACAGGATTCTTCTGAACGTGGCTTCAACGTTGATTAGGAGGACTTTTTAAACCTACGAAGTGGAAAGGGAGTTAGTCAGCTTTGTACCAAAACGGTGTGGCTGTTAGGCCAAGCAGCGGAAGCGTGTTCGAAGTGAAGAATTCTTGAATTGTGACGAGACACCAAGGATAGGCATCTGGTTGGCATAGAATCAAACATTTTACCTTCCGTGGGAATATAAGAAAAGTGCAAACGCATGAAACTGCACTTTAAGGGGATTTTCGACATCCTGATTCAGCAGAAGGAATCTTGAATGTTGTAGATATTAATTCTTACATTTAAACATTAATGTAAGCAATTACTAATGACATGCAGTTGTATTTAGCAAAAATGCAAAATAATATCAGCAGAACATTTGGAAAATGTGATGCATATTCTTTTTATCTGATGAACGCATTCATGGGTTATGATATATTGAAGAATATTAACTATTTCTTAAGAGCCTACGATAGATATGTGGTGTGATGTTGTACGTTGTTTATTGTTACATTCCTAGTTACAAAGAAAAGCATATGTATTTTAGTTCAAAAACAAAAGAAAACTGGGAGTTCTAAACCAATTAGGACCTTACGTGGACTGTCACGTTTAGTACCAGGATTAACACGAGCTAACAAATAACGGGACTTTTCACAACGCTGATGTTACTGAATGGACCTGCAGTTTAAACTATGATCTTTTCACATGTAGAGATAACTATTTGATACGCTGGTGTTTTGCATTCGTATGCCTAAAAGTATTACACTTTCAAAGATGTTAAGACCCGAAAATTTACACGCTTTAATTTCGAAGTGTCGGGTGTTTATTAAATTTGGACTGAGATATTTGCTGTGCTTTCCCTTTCGAAGATACGCACTCAAATCGATCGCTTAAAATGCAAAAAATGTTTCCAAATCTAAGCGTTAAATACTTTGGGTTTTTCTCCGGCTAATCTCCCAAATGAAACAAATAATGTTAGTTGACAGAAGAAAGTGCAGTTCAGTTAGAGGTTCCAAAAGAAAAGGCAAGTTCTTTCATGACAGGACAAAAACAATGTGTTGTTTTCACCTCTCGCAATACATCTGGCGAAAAAAAATCTGATACTGAGTTGGCAGTGTTGCACTTAAAGTGTCGTTTTCCTTTTCATAACCTGATAAAATATCAAATTGAGAGCTTCTGCATGTTAGTCCCCCGCAACAGGTGTCGGGTTCACTCCGAACGAGGGGTTCCTTTGATTCTGAGATTATTGGTGTCATCCATCTAAACTCAATTCAGATGCAAATCGTGTGGGTTCTTTTCCTGCTTTGATGGCGAAGAGAGTGGTCCAAGTACAAAATTGTTGTGCGGCTGGAGGATGTGTGTGGTGCGTAAACGCAGTTGTTCGAATGGCTTATATGACACTGGATCCTCACAGTGATTGTTATCAAAGAAAGACTGGGAATGTCTCGGAGAAAGTTACTCCATTAAAACGAACAGAACAAGGATCAAGCAGGTAAGAAAGGCAGAAATATTTTCTCGACTAATTTTATTTGCTCCTCTTAAAATGACAATTTCGTTTAAACCGCATGCTACATTTATAGTCGTTGTTTGTAGAAAATGGATTATTAATGTCACAAGAAAGGTCATTACTGGCCTTCTCTCATTATCATCTTCATGAATAATCTGTGAACAGAAATTAAAAACCAGCTTCATGAGAATGCAACAAGAAGATATTTTCTCGGAGAATCAAGGCGTCACTTTTTCAACATTTTGTATCAACTTGCTTTAGATTACAAATCCAGTAACTTACGTTTCTTCTTAAAACTTATGTATTTCATGAACTGATGTTTCATATCACAATGTTATAATACTCAAAGGGTTCGGAATCCCATTTTATCCCTTACATTTAAAACTAAATTATTGACGGCAAATGACAAATCACTTAAGAAACATTGCTAATTTTGTTTTTTTTAATACATTTTCAACTCACTGTGGCAAATTGGTAGATACCTGCCCTCGTCATTTAAGCACACAGAATGAGCCGGGTCTTGGCACAACTCAGAAATGTGCTGAAGATGTATACAGCGGAACTCTTCTCGTAAAATACACTTTCTACCGGCAGACTCGCTCCATTAAAAGAAATGAATGAACAATTTTGTTTTGCTTTTCATGTTTTCGCTGGTAACCTCACCCGCAGCTTTTTACTTAAGTTTTGAATTGGCCAAAATGGGATGATTGAATTAAAATGTCCACGATGTATGAGATCTACAATTATAATAGTTCAAAGGCCTTCCTTAAGGTTAATGTCAACGTAATGATCGATGTCTATTTTATTCATCACATGTCCCTCTGCATCTCCTTTGCAGAACACTATTATTTTTTAAATTGCCGTTAGTCGCTTCATGACAAAACCAAT